CCCCGCCCCCTCCCCCTGTGTGTGGAATTCCGACAGAAGCTGACACACCCGGAGAAGCAAGGCGGGAACACAGTTCACTTGTGCGTTGACCGTGTGCAGCCCAATTTTAGCAGGCATGCACGCATTCATTCATTCATTCATTCATTCAACAAACATTTATGGAGGGCCTATGCATGACCGACAGGGGGCGTGGGGTAAGGGAGCTTTGCAGGGGGCGCTGTGCCCTTGAGTGAAGGCTGCTTGGAAGCTCCGTGGGTGGAGCCTAGGAGGAGCAACTACGCAGGCACCAACAGGTGACCCAGGACTAGGTACCATCCAGGTTCCTAAAGTGGCCCAGCACAGATGAGGGGGACAGACAAACAGTCAGTGCCTTATCTGACCATTTTTGTAAAGAAAGCGTAGCTACAACCACTTCTTGGTTCCATGCCTCCTTAAACAGCTTATGCAGAACAGAACAGAACGTACTCGTTCCTTGTCCCAGCACCAGCACCGCTGCCCCCAGGCGGGGTCCTCCAGGGCCGGGGAGAGGGTTGTGTCTGCACAAGACACCAGCTGCCTCTTTGAATTCTTGGGGCTGATTTTGTAGTTTCCCCGACTCCACTTTTGCTTTCAGCTTGTTTGTACCGAAGGGAGTAAGTGAAAAGTCTCCTTCCCACCCCTGCTTCCTGCTACTCGGTCATCCATCCCGGAGGCGATAAAGTTACCACTGCCTTATCATTTGGGAGAGATTTCCTGCGTATATAAGCAAGATCACGTCTCTTCCCTTATCCCTCGTGTTTACACCCATGCCAGTATTATATACCACACCTTGGGTTTTTTACACTCTTGGGCAAGCTTCTTAAGCTCTCTGTGCCTCACTCTCCCCGTCTGTGGAATGGGGGTAATAACGCCAACCTCACTGATTGTTCCAGGGAGCAAATGAACTAATATATGACCTGGCATGTGGCAACAATCTCATGACAACCACTCGGTGAATTTTAGCTGTCGTCCGCCATGCAGATTTTATTTTTATGCAAGTGAACTTAGTAACTTTTTCTTTGGTTTCTGGGTTTTATGACATGCTTGGAAAAGCTTTTCCCATGCTGGGATTGCAAAAATCTCCCATTTTTATTTCTAACGCTGTTATGGCTTCGTTTTTGTTTTGTTTTGTTTTTATCATTTGTATTGCTCTTTCTGGAATTCATCTTGGAATGCAGAGTGAGGTGGGAATCCCAAGGTTTTCTCCAGATGGCACACGACCATCCCAAGACCAATTATGAAATAATTTTCCTACTCACTTAAAATGCCATTTTTATACTATTTTAGGCTTCCCCCCCCCCCATGTTTGGCCATACTTCTATATTTCCAGTTAAAGAACTAGATCCCCGGGTGTCATTTAATGTGTTTCCTTCCTTGGGACGGCCCCCGCATGCTGTGGGGTGAGTCCTTCTGTTGCTCCACATGGGGCGCTCTGCCCCTGCTTCCGTATGAGAACATTGATGGGTGGGTCAGGGACTGTCAGTCAGAGCCGCTCGAGTCCCCCACCGGTCACAAATTAGAGGCTGACTGCCAACCACAAAGTGCAGGGGTGTGCTGCTCAGGGTGAGTCAATCAGATTCTTGCTCCCAAAAGTGATGACCACGAATGCACCCCACAGCGGCCAGCAGTGCCCTGGAGGGAGGCCTTAGGATCGCCTGGGGAGATTTATGTCCCAAGGCAGAGCTGCCTGGGGTCCCATCTTTCCCTGGGGAAAACATCCAGCGATTCCGTCTGTCCTATGATCAACCCCAAGAATGTTCCGGCTCTCCCCATCACGGCTAGACGAGCTGAGCCCTCACTAGTACAGACTTAAAGCCCCCACTTCTCCCACACTCAGCAAGAAAGAGTTCTCCACTTCATCATCTTCAGCTGCCCCTTTCTTTTTCTAGATGAGTTGATGGGTTTTCATGCACAGATTGTTTGCCAGCTCTTGTAGCTTGAATGTGTGTTGGCCTCCCCCCCAAATGTGTGCGTTGAAATCCTAATGCCCCATGTGATGGTGTTGGGGGAGGGGGGCTTTGGGAGGTGACGGACGAGATCATGAGGGTGGAACCTCACAAATGGGACCGATGCCCTTGTAAGGAGAGACACGAGCGCACACTCCTTCTCTCTGCCCTGCCCCCTGTGAAGACAAAATGAGAACATGGCCATCTGCAAACCAGGAAGTGGGCTCCCACCAGATGCCACGTCTGCCTGCCACTTGATCTTGGACTTCCAGCCTCCAGAAGCCTGAGAAGCATGCATCTGTTCTTTAAGCCCCCGCCCCCCACCCAGGTCTGTGGTAATTCGATACAGCAGCCCAAGCCAAGACACCAGCCCTTTCTTCTACCAGGTGTTTGTCTACCCCCTTGGAAATTGCTTTCTCAAGGGGCCTTAAGACAATTACAAAAGAATACTGCTTTTGGAAGACGAACCCCTTTGCCTGTCTCATGGTATTCCTCCTCGATCAAAAACTCCACTCCCTCCTTCACCCCGCACAGAGTTAACTAACAGATGGCGGTGGAAAGTGTCACTAATTTGGGACTGGCATGTTAAGTTATTCAGTGATTTACCTAATGTTCATTGAGAAGCTGGTGTGCTGGGGCTAGAGCCCCACATGGCCCAAGTCCTGTCTTCAAGGAGCGACGGGAGCCGGGGAGATGGAGGGTCCCCACGAGAGCGAGGGGCGCCCCCTGCGCCAAGGCTGGCCCCCCAGCCCGGAGCTTCAGCCAGAGCCTGGGAAGCGGGAGGAGCCGTCTGATGCCTCCCGTCTCCATCAGGCCCATACTCAGAAGCACAAAGGAAGCTAGTCTCTAGCCAAACAAACGCTCCCTCACTCTGAGCTGCACTTGTCTTAGAGCCCAGACTTCTATTCCCCCCCTTCCTAGCATCTTGGGTCCCATCCTGGCACTCAGGAGTCAAATTCAGGAGGTCCAGGGCTCGTTTCTCCCAGTCCCTCAACTCCCACAGTTGATTCTTCAGGTGCAGCAGATAGCCACCAGAGCATGCTTCTCCTCCAGGGGCCGTCCGGCAAGGTCTGGCCGTATTTTGGTTGTCACCACCTGGGAAGAGGCCAACGACGCTGCTCCACATCCTACGATGCACGGGACAATCCCCCACCACTAAAGCTTATCCGATCCAAATGTGGACAGTTGCCACAGGTAGAAACCCTATCTGGTGTTTCTGCCTTGCTTGAAGCCTCAGCAGGAGGAATCTGGGGAGAGCCTGGGAGGCGTAGTCGGTTAAGCACCGACTCTTGATTTTGGCTCAGGTACTGATCTCAGGGTCGTGAGATGGAGCCCCACAAGAGGCTCTGCGCTCAGTGCGGAATCTGCTTGGGATTCTCTCTTTCCTTCTCCCTCTGCCCCTCTCTGCTCATTCTTGTTCTTTCTCTCTCTCTCAAAAAAAAAAAAAAAAAAAAAAGGAGTCTGAGGCCTGTAGGGGGCTGGTCCTGGGCCCTCCCAAATTGCTGCAGCTTACTTATGGAACATTCCAGATCCTTCGCATGGCTGCAGGACACTGGCTGAGAAGACGCAATTTCTTCCTCCTCATTCATGCCACCCCTCTGCTTCCGTGGCCCTCCCACGCCTGTCGATGCAGGACACGCCGGCTGAGAGTCCCGCCAGGGGCCAGAATGCCAAGCCCTCCGACCCCCATCTCCACCGGCAAGGTGCCCTTTAAAACACAGCCATGCCAGGCATCTTTCTGAGTGATCCAGTTTGGAGTGGGAGGTGGTGGTCCTACAAGGAGAAAATACAAGGGCAAGTGCATACACGTGGGAGGAATTTCGTTGGAAACGGCGTGTGAGAAAACACGGAGGCAGGGGCGCCTGGGGGGCTCAGTCGGTTAAGCGTCTGCCTTCGGCTCAGGTCATGATCCCCGGGGTCCTGGGATCGAGCCCCACATCGGGCTCCCCGCTCGGTGGGAAGCCTGCTTCTCCCTCTCCCACTCCCCCTGCTTGTGTTCCCTCTCTCGCTGTGTCTCCTCTCTGTCAAATAAATAAATAAAATTAAAAACAAAAAACACGGAAGGCAACTTCATGGAACCATAAGTGGTTTTGTGAGAGCAGAAGGCGAGGAAAAAAAGTGGGAACAGTCAGGACTGCAAGCTGGTGGGTGGAGGGCAGATGAAGCCGGGCCTCGCACAGAGCGCTGAGGGGTGTGGCCAGTGGGGTGGGGGGTTTGAAGCCAGGGAGTAAATGCATACTCAGGAGGGCTAATTGGCCCCTGGAGGAAGGCAAGAATGGAGTCAGAGGCCCAAGGCAAAGGGTGGGCTGCGCTCCTTCTGGGACACAGCAGAGGCCTCTGCCAAGGTAAAAATCTCTGGGAGGAGACAAGTGAATGGATCTGAAAGCTACGGGGGACAAGGGACTCATCAGAACTTGGACTGAGGGAGTGAGGGAAGCAGGGAGGGCAAGGCTAGGGCCCCAGCCCAGGGGGATGCAAAGCACTGGCTTCAGGTGCAGGTTTCAGGACAAGCTGAGTTAGAAATCCAGGGGGCCATCCAGGTGGCAGTGTCAGGAGGAGCCGCCTTGAACCCAGCGGAGCACATGCGTGGAGATCCAGTCACGGGCCATGGACACCACGGAGGTGGACAGATGGCTCCAGACAGAGCCCAGAGGAGCACACAGGCAGCCTGCAAAGGAGCCCCAAGGGGAAGGAGAAGGTGTGCCAGGAAAGGCAGACCCAGTGCAGAGAAGAGCCCTCTGGGAGGAAGAGGAAGTGTTGGCAGTGTCAAACGCTGCGGAGACATGAAGCAAGGTAAGAGCGGAAAAAACATCCACGAACCCCGTGATGCAATCAGAAAGGCAAGATAACTTCATGGCCCCTGCCTGTCTCTTCCCATGCCGACTCACGGCCAAGGACACAGAATCGTGCTTCCTCCCTCGTTCTGGAAAAGCACTACTTTTGTACCCAAGTTCTGGACTCTCCGGGGGGGACAGGACCAGCCTCTGTGGTTTGAAGGTCCTGGTTAGCTGGTTAGGGGCCCTTTCCAGTGACCCTTTCCAGAGGGTGCAGCTGAATCCTCTGGGACAGGAAAGGGGTGTGGGGGCCCTGGACTCTGGGGCGGAGATGGGAGCCCCAGAGCCTGCTAGGGAATGGCTGCAGAGCCTCTGAGGAGCCTCAGGGGCCATCCCTGGCTGGGCACTGGGCAGAGAGGGAGCAGAACCTTCCGTATCCAACATCTGGGGCTCGCAGCAGCCTAGGCCCTAGGAGGGGCCCACCGCGACCGCGGGAGCAAACCCTGCCCTGCCGTGATGGAATTTTGTTATAATGAGAATGCTACTTGGTTTATTACGTTTTGCCCCTGCTCGTGGAAAGAGATTTTTTTTTCAATCTATTTTAAATATGGTTACTATCAGACCAGTGACTGTCCAACCCACCTGGCCCCGTGGAAACAGGAGTGTGGCCACTTAGGTGGGGAAGAAGAAAGAGGAAAGGAAAAAGAAAAAGCTGGAGGATGGGGCCTGGGAGGGTCCAGTTCCTCTTCAACTCTGTTCTTCACGCTCAGACGCCAATGGGTGAGTAACCAACAGAGCGGTCACGTGGAGTGAGTGAGCAGGTTGCCCTTGCTGTGCGCGTGACTCCTTCAGCATGCACGAGTGCACCCCAGGGGGCTCACAGTCTCATGACGTGGTGGTTTTAGAAATTTCGGTTGCCATTTCTTGTCATGCAGGAAATTTTAGGAAACCCAGCCCGTGCCGTGGGTGCTGTGTGGTCTGCCCAGACGTCCTCTTCAGGGTCAGTGTGCCCACCCTCCCAGCTGCTGGGGACGGGGACCACCACCCTCAGCCACTGAGCCCCGCCTTCCCTGGGCCCTGCCCCCTCTCAGGGGACGACTGAGGCCCATGACTGGCTGATGGGGGGTAGCAAGGGCCCGGCCCCCTTCCCTCCATGGGGGACAGTGACGAAGGGCCATCCCAGGCCTAGAGCTCCTCGTGGGGTTGGCGGGGGCTTCGGTGGTCTCCACACTGGGGTCTGCTTCTCCCTCTGTCCAGGCTTGCCTCGCCTACTCATTGATGGGGGTGCCTCCCGGAAGCCCTCCCCAGCCCGGCATTGGCCTGCAGCTGTCCCGCTGAGCTCTGGACTTCCAGGAATTAGATGGAAAATAGCCTGGTTCCTGCTTTCAGCTTTCTCTTCTGCAGAAACTCAGACGCCAATAAGTAATAAAATGTCTCCCCCCCCGAGTTCTGTTTCCCTTGCCTTGCCCCATCTCTGAGATCCAGGTGGATGGCTCCTCAAGAACCTAAAGGAGACGTTAGGAGGAGAAGGGAGGAGAGAAAAGGCTGTGCCCCCCTCGCCCGGCTAACTCCCACTCAGGCTTTCTGCTTAGAAGGCCCCTCCCATGGGACACCATCCCTGGTCCCTCCGGACCAGGGCCTGGCGCCCTCGCCCATGGCTCCCCTAGCTGCTGTGGGCTTCCCCCAGCACAGCACCAGGCTCCCCAGATTACCATCAGTTACATACCTGCCCAGCTCCCTTTAGAACATCAAAGCCATGAGGGCAGAGGACAGGTCTATCTGCTCACCATTTTCTCCCGGGGCCTGGCAAAGTTCCTGGAACCCAGGAGATGTGTCCTGCAGAGTCTTGCCTAAAACAAACGGCACATTGAAGTAAGGCAACTGAGCAAGGTTGGTAAGAGGATTCCTCCCGAGATTTAGACAGGGTGTAGGGAAGCCCCAGGGCATGACTGGTGCAGGAGAGAACACGCCGCCATTCCGACTGCTAGGAACAAGGGGGGCAGAGCAGGGGGAGGGGCCGCCTGGGTCAAGGTCAAGAGACACACCAGCCCCACCAGGAAGGAGCCAGGGCTCTAAACGCCTTGACCTCAGTCCCTAACCTCCTGCCCAAAGCCCCCATTGGCCAAACCTGACTGAGACTCAGAGGGTCAGAGGGTGGAGGCTCTGCTGTTAACAAGTTGAGCCTCCAGGAATGGGGACGCGAAAGTGCAAAAGCGGGCCGGAAGGGGATGGAAAGTGGATATGGAAGGGCAAATGGGGGGAAGGGGGGGTTCACCAGACAGCAGACACTAAATGCCTGTGAAATGAATAACGTTTTTCAACAAATATTCCCTGAACATTCATTCAATTTATTATTTTGATCACTGTCTGGTGTAAACAAATCAGAAGGCACTCACCCTACAAGGCCATTGAGGACACCGGCCAACACAGAGAAGACAGCAAGGCCTCGGGCCATGTGTGACGGGGAGCTGGTGCCGAGAGGTCCCCCCAGAAAGCTAGCTCCTGGAAGAAACACACCCACAGGCGGGGACAATAAGGGAGCTTAGCTGGTTTTGCCTTGACTCCAAGTGGTAGGCAGAAAATCTCTGAGACTCCAAAACCCGTACCTCAATGCAAATATCAAGTTCGATTTTATAATACCCTCAAAGTGGGAGACCCCCGAAACTAAAATTCAGCTCAGGCCATGGATGCCCCTCGTGGTCCTGGTGGAAGCAAATGCAAAACTCCTCCGGGAGGGAGTGCTCCCACCTCGGGCAACGAAACGCTGCTGCAGGACCGGTAATTCCCAATAAAGGTGAACCCACGCGCACACCACAGAACACACGAGGAAATGCGGCACCAAGAGTGAAGTGGGCAGGCCTCCCAAACCATAGGACTAGAACCCTGAAAGACTTGGTTAAATCATTAGTTGATTCAAAGTATTTTGACAAGGAATCAGCACACCTGGGTGGCTGAGTCGGTGAAGCATCTGCCTTCAGCTCAGGTCCCGATCTCGGGGTCCTGGGATCGAGCCTCGTGTCGGGCTCCCTGCTCAGTGGGGAGCCTGCTTCTCCCTCTCCCTCTCCCTCTGCCCCTTGCCCTGCTCACGCTCTCTCTCCCACTCTAATAAATAAATAAAATCTTTAAAAAAAATATTTCTACAAGGAATGAAAATCCTTAAAAAAAAAAAAGACTATTATTACCAGAAGTTACTCAGTGTGTATAAAGGTATATTTGACTTTTGTAGAGTTTGTCCTATTGCCCTGCTCTGCACATTGTCTTAGAATGTGAGAAGTCCAAGAAACCCTTCTGGAATAAGAGGGCTTTTACTCAGTAAGTGTTTCTCCTTTCTTTTCCCAGGGATATATACTCTCCTTCTACCCACTTATCTCCTAACGGGAGAGTATTAGGATAATCCTCAGGAATTACTGATTTGTCCCTCTTTCTTCAGTACTGTGTCTGTAATAGGATTAGGTTTAGACATCGCTGCAGTGCACCACATTTCGAGGTTTTGGAACGAGATTGTACCCTATTTCGTGTTCAGTTGCTACTGGCAAAATTTTAGAGTTTTTGTTGAAGCCATTTTATAAGGTACCGCTGGAGGAGGGCGAGGCTGTTGATCCTGCTTCCGTCTGCCATCTTTACTAGAAAGCCCATACTAATGTTTTTTAGATTTCATAAGGGTTTCAAAAACATTAGGCACGACTTCAGCTGGGAAAGCCCCAGAGGTAGTGGTGTGGATGTGTCGTTGGCTTTAGTGGGAGTAGGGACATATTGGACACTTCCGGCTCATGGGCGCTTCACAAAGCAATTGATGACATTTCAGCACAGAAGGGTGCTGGGGACCCTGGGGAGACCAATCTCCGCGGAAGGGTGGGGCCCGACGCCAGGCTGGAAGGGACTGAGTAGAGAATGAACAAAGACAAAGCAGGAAGAATGGGTTTGGACAATGAATGAAGGCTGCCTAAGAGGGAGAGCGTGGAGTTAGAGCAAGGTGTGGGGCTCAGGGTGGGCTTGTGGCCTTATCTAAGGGAGACACCAGAGCATTTCAATATTGCGAAGAATGCAGTCGGGGTTGGAACGGGCCCTCAGGAACAGTTGCCAGAGGTCAGACAGAATGCAGTCCAGAGGGCAGGAGGAGAAATGAGCCTTTGCTCTCCGAGGAGCAGCTCTGTCCGCGGAGGAGGAAGGAATGGAGATGCCAGGATGACATCTGAAGCCGGGGAGTGGAGAGAGTTCTGAGAACAGCAGGAAATGAGGTCACCTCCTGAGCAGAAGTGTGGGCGGTGGCGGTGGGAGTTTGAAGGCACTGGAAGAGTTTTAGGGGCTTTGGAACAGCCGACGGAAAACAGGAGAAGGTGACGATTTAGGACACTCAGAAGAGTGACTAGGGAAATAAGAGAAATCTCTGGAAGCTAGCTGAGCCTGGAGACCACAAATTGGTGATGGATCTTCTCTTTGTGGCTAAGTGGTTTTAACCAGCTATCCTCAGAAGAAAATTGGGAGGGAGGAGCAGATGGATGGGTTGAGCTAAGGCTGGGGCTTCAAGGGAGGGCAGAGTATTGACTGGAGAGTGGCTAAGTGACAGCCTCGGGTCTCAGCGAGACAGGAGGGATGTGACCACCCAAGGCGCTCACAGACAGAGCTGGAGGACTCGAGGAAAGAGAACAACCAATGGTGGGAAGTGAACGGGGGTGAGCGATTTCACTGTAAGTGTTCAGTGGTGGATCAGTATTAACAGACCTGAGTGAAGTTGAATTAACGAGTCCATGAAAGTTATGACCTGGGTGCTGAACAGGGATCAACTTGGGCAGGTAGGTCCCCAGGGGCGTGGAGGAAACTGGGGTGAACAGAAGCCTGTTATCCATGGTACACAAGGCTAAAATAAAAGAAGGGGGCCATTAGGCTGGCAGTGGAGCAGAGGGTGATAGGGTCAGAGAGCTGGGGACCCAAGGGATCTCCTATGTAGCCGGAAGCAATGATCAGCAAGTGGCACTGGGACCAGGGATGTCACCTCCGGACCCCCGAGTCTGAGGTGGGGGTGAGAGGGACGGAGTATCCTCAAGGGACAAGAGATGCCAGGAATGTTCTGGAATTCGTGAAGGATGTCAGGAGGAGTGTCTGTCCTGGAGTTCGAGATTCCAGAGGGCATAGAGGGAGAGCGTGGGGAGAGAGGGAAACACTGAGAAGTGAGCCAAGGGCAGGGGAAGCACAGAGGAGAATGGCGATAAGAACCAAGACAAGGTACATGACCCCAGGAGTTGAGCGGAATGGGGGCATGAGGGCAGTACCTGGTCTCCTGGGTTCTGGAAAGTTCCACCCCAGCAGGCCACAGGTAGATGGTGGGCAAGAAGGTCAGGGAAGGATGGGGTGCTGCAAAATGTATCATTCTCCGGCAAGCAAAGGGCTTAAGGCTCTAGAGATGGATGCCTCCCTTCCAAGGCTGTGTTAGCTCAGCTCCTTCAAGATGGGATGTGGCATAAAGGAAGTGTATTAGAGGAAACACTCTGAGAGTTTGCAAGGGAGCCGGGAGAAGCTGGGAAAGCCACCAGATCACAGAGCAGAATTGGCCCCAAGTGAAGGAGAGAAGGAGGGAGGGAGGCTGGGAGAAAGTGCCAGCCAAAGTCCCATCAGAGGAGCTCACCTCCCAGGACTGGGCCTGTGCTGGTGTCCCCAAGAGGGTCACCGGCTGGAGCAGCCCCTGGTAGGCATGGCCTTGACACGAACGCGAGGATGTGTTTCAGGGTGTGGCAGTTGGGACCCTCGGTCACGATGCTCCCTTCAGAGATGTGGAGTTTTGTCCCCATGGCCACACCAAGACACAGTTAACACGTGTATGTCAAAGGCAACACTTCTCAAATTACGTTCTGCAGAGCCCTTGGCCCATAAGTATCTGTTTGAGGATAAAAAAAGAGGATTCCATGATCAAACAACTTTAGGAAACACTGCAGACCCTCTCTTCCTCATGGAGGGTCACAATGCTTATTAGCATATTAAGAGTTCTGAGAAGTCCCGCAGTAAAGAAACTCGCTTAATTTTTTTAGTTTCGCTCTTTTTCAAACTTACCTGGGCAACGTCTCCCCCCTCAACTTTTCTTTTTTACACTTTTTTTAGCACACTGCAGAATAAATGGAGCAGGCACTGAGAGAGGCTTTTTTAGATGCAGTTAACAATTTTTCTTTCAGCAAGTACATAGAAAACCTGAGTTTCAGGGTTGATTATCATTATGATCACATTTTGAAAGGATCATTTCCCCCTTTGCCGCCTTCCCAGGAAGACCAGCTATTGGGAGGCCCGAGACCTGAGGTTGGCTGTTAGTCATTAGGCAGTCAGTGGGAGAAAATTTGGGGGCAGGACAGACACCCTCAGAATCCTGAAAATTACAACACAAGGGTATTTGTCCTTTTAATCTACTACTCAATGCCAAACAACTAATCCAGCAGGAAGCAGTCATCTAAAAGCAGTTTTTGCACATTTTCCATTAAGAAGAAGTGTTACTTAAAAATTGTAATAGCTGTTCTTTGTGAATATCACTATTTTAGATTACTTTTTCTATACTTTGCAATTTTTCTGTAATGTAATATTTTCAAATAAAAATTAGGTAGATTGATTGATTGATAGGTAATCTGAGAGCACTGATATTTGAAGAAGCCATTTTAAGGGATAGATTAAATTACCGTAATTTTAAAATTTTGAATACCCAATTCTCAATATCAATAAATCCCTGAGAAATTCTCCATGTTAGTAATTCATCATCCAGAGATGCTCGCAACCCTTCACTGAACTAAATTCAATGTTGGATATCTATCAATCGGCACCCAGTCAAGAGACAGAAATCACACCAGTGATCTGACCAAAGAACATTTACTATGAAGAATTACTGATTAGTAACCAGGGACTAACTACAGGACCAGCAGAGGTAGGGAGCTGTCTCTAGGCTAAGGCAGAACACCCAGAAGGCACACTTGGAAGGTGCCTTCCCTCCCAAGGCTGAGCTTCGGACCTTGTTGGAGATGGTGTGACTACAACCCACGGGACTGTGGGTTTTCCAAGCTCCCTGGTATAAGAACTTAGTAACCAGAAGAAAAAATGAGGTCGTGAGCATTAATTACGGGGCCTAATCACATGCTGTTCCTACGCACACTTGTCACCAAGCTTCCTCTGACCATCCTACGTAAAGTGTGAGCCCCTGAACCATCCCGGCCCTTCCTACCCTCCTTCCTGCTTTGCTTTTCTCCACAGAACACCTCTCCTACTACCCTACAACTTACATACTTACTCTGTTTTTGTCTGTAGAACGAAAGCTCCGTGAAGTTCAGGATGTTTGCCTGCATTGTTCACCCAGAACAGTGCCGGGCACCTGCTAGACACTCTGTAAATATAGGTGAATAGCTGGAGAGATGAACTGAATTAATGAATGACCTGTGTGTACAGGATAATGAGAATTATAGCGTCTTAGTTTCTTGGACTGAAATTGGGGTTGAATTATAGCGATAAAGAAGAATTCAGACCCTTGAAGGTAAGGTTTGTGAGCCACGTGCCAAAGCCGCAGAATGAAGTAAGGTTTCACAAACGATGAAGACCCTATTATGGTTCCAGATAGTAGAAGGGTAATAAAAACTTTCCTCTTGCCTCCACTTCAGACCTCCAGACCATTCTTTCCTACCCATTTAGAAGTTTCTAGAATCCCAAGGCCTTGGAGAGCTAATACACACTATAGTGATTATAGGCAACGAAAGTGTATTATAAACAGCAAACTTGCTGGCAACATACCTCTTAATTGTTCTACCACTAGCAGAAATGCTAGTTACGCGACGGGACAGGGGTGTCAGCCAACCTCCCAGTGGCAATCCTTTTGCAGTAGAAACGTATCAAATCAACATGCTGTATACCTTAAACTTACACAATGGTATATGTCAAGTATCTCTCAACTGAAAAAAATAAAAAGGGAAGAACCCCATGGCCTGAGGCTGGATAAGCAGAATGTTGGGAATCAAGCCAAAATAAAATAATACTGAAAGTGAAGGCCATTAATAACAGGAAGTTAAGGGTGGTCTCAAATTTCCCGTGTTCTTCCCGGGTAACTTCAAATTTCATATAATTCTGTGACCTACATGAGGTCCTGCCTACTGCCGTTTTCCTCTATTTAGCCATGTAGTGTGAGTGTGTATATCCATGGGACTTTCCATGTTTCTGAGTTCACTTGACTCTCACTGCTTTGCCCAGCGCGGACCAGTGAGCACCCTGCATGAGCTTTACTGAGCCACCATCCCTTACTCACTCAAGGTCCTGGGGGGTCCGGGGGGGGGGGGGGGCGGGGGGGGGGGGGGGGGCAAAAGGCCCGGTGTGGGGGGGAATAGCCCAGCTGAGGGAGGTAGAGCCCCTCCACGGGCGGGTCCCAGGGCTGTGCTGCCACCAGTGGGCAGTGACCCCCACTCACTCCAGGAGCCCGTGCGGGGGGCAGGGGGCAAGCCCATGCTGGGAAGCGTGCACCCCCCAGGTTCCCACCGACGACAACCCCTCCGTGCGGAGGACAAATGTGATCTTTGAGTTAAATTTAACGCTCAACCACGTATGCGTCTGGGCCCTTTCATGTTTGTTTTTGCCTTTCTTTTAATAGTTTGTTTCTATTTCCATCTTCACAGGTCCACGCTCTGAGTTGAAAGCTAGCTCAGACGCTTTTCTGGCATTCATTAACAGGATGTCCTTTAGCCAACTGTGTGAGTGCTAAACCACAGTGTAGGGGGGTGGCCCCAAATTAGGTCAGTCACAGGTCCAGAGAGAGGAGCCGGGAGAGGTTCATACAGACTTCCCAGCCGTTTTGGCATTCCTCTTCTCCCTTCATCCTTCTTCAAGCCACCCCCTGCCCCGTATGTCCTGCCCCTGACCACCCACCGCTTCCTCCCCCTGACTCTGAAATCTGGACTCCTCCAGCTTCCTTTCTCTCCAGCCTCAGACCTCCTCCCTCCCCCATTACGGTCCCAGCCTGGGAGGTTTCCCCACAGGCTCTGTAGCCCAGACTTGACGCCCTTCCCCCACCCTCCGTGGAATTTTCTGGGATCTTCTGGGAGCTGGGTCAGCACCTCATGCCTTGCTTAACTCCTGGCTTTCCTCACTCTGTTTTCCTCAAATCCCACTCACTGGTCCTGAGCATCTCTGCACCAGCCCCCTTCCCAAGTGACACCACTCTGTGGTTTCCTGTGTCCCCAGATCCTCTTTTGGGACGCCACCCCCCTAGTCCCAGCACAGTGTCTCTCAACAGGGACAGCGAGAACCAGACCTCATGCCGCTCACCGTGGATCTCCCCAAGCCTTCTAGATGCCCTACGGATGCAGGGAGTGGGCTTCTGCCCTGGGGTCTGCACACAGAGCTCCCACAGGACACTTTCCCCTCCGCAGCTGGCTGTCACCTGCTCAGAAGTGCCCTGCTGTCAGCCCACCTCGTATCACTGGGGAGCAGTGGCAACTCAGTTCCCTTATCTGGGGCAGCCAGGAGGACGCCTGTCTGAAGGCCAGGGGGAAATCAAAGGCGGGGTCCAGGGGGAACCGGGAGGAGAAAACAACTTCCTGGTCTCTCTCAGAGGCTTGAGAAACACTGTAGGGGTCCGGAGGAGCTTTCAAGTTGCTTTCTTTGGGTCAGTCCCCGAGACCAAGACCGAGGCCAGTGACTTGTGGTGTAGAGCTCCCCAGGGGTAAACAGTGGCTTCTCTTGCCCCTAAAGTTCAGGCCCAGCCGCTCAGAAGAAAGCTGGCCTCTCGGCTGCCCCAGGCCATTCCCACAGCAGCTCAGATGGTGGGTCAGGAGGCCGAGCCCTGCGCCCCTGGAACTCCGTCAAGGGGTAAGTCATCTGTGTATTTAACCAGTGACGTCCATGTTGATGCTTGGGATGGTTTCGCTTTTGCAAACCTTGGTTTCTATCCTTGGAGAGAAGAGCTCGGTCAGCCTGTTGCAGGAAGCTACTTCACAGGGTGAGCAGAGTTTTGGAACACGTAGACATTAGGAGTGATGCCCATTTCATGACCCTAAACCACAGCACCAGGCTCTCTTTGACGGTGTGTTTCCTTAAATATCACCTTCAGACAGGCAAATCGTGTTTTCACCAGGAAAATTTAAGTTCTGTGAAGAAGTGTAATGCTTACTTTTATTTCGCCGGTGGTATCAGCGCATTGCCAAGTGCGCGAGGGCTTAGTGAGGAGGCCATTTATAGTAGCCGCTCTCAGCAAGTGGGGATGCGTTGGAGAAATGCTTATTTTCAATCTTCTCAGCTGTAGACCTACGCTGGGTAAAATGAAGCACCAGAAAAGGGACGGGATAGCTTCACGGACACTAATCCAATTTTTTTTTTCCCCTCCAGGACCACCCAGCTGTTTGAAGGGAAAATAATCTTTCACGTCTCCAGAGGGCAGCCTGAAGATGGCTAATTACACGTCAGCCCCGGAGGATGACTATGACGTCCTCATAGAGGATGACCTGAAGAGCAGCGAAATAGAACCATGCAACCCCTACGACCCCAAGATCCTGGCGGCCCGGGTGGTACCCCAGCTCTCCACCACCGTGTTCCTGGCTGGTCTCCTGGGCAGTCTCTTGGTTGTGCTCATCCTGGTGAAACATAAAGGACTCAAGCACACGGAAGATATCTATCTCCTGAACTTGGCAGTTTCGAATTTGTGTTTCTTGCTGGCCCTGCCATTCTGGGCCTACACTGCGACACACGGGGGGGTTCTCGACAACCCCTTCTGTAAAATTCTAGTGGTCCTGTACTCCATAGGCCTATACAGTGAGGCATTTTTCAACGTCCTCCTGACAGTGCACAGGTACCTGGTGTCTCTCCCCGTGAGCCTTCCCTCAACCACCAGCACGGCACGCTGGGGCGCGCTCTCAAGTGTCCTGGCATGGGTCCTAGCCACTCTGGTCATTTTGCCCGAATCCGGGTTTTATAAAGCTCAGATGGAAAGCCAGACATACAAGTGCTTCTTGAGACTACCTCACTTCCTGCTGGCGGAGGAGACATCCTGGAAGCGTTTTCTGACCTTAAAGATGAACATTTTGGGACTTCTTGTTCCACTGTGCGTTTTTGTCTTTTGCTACATGCGAATGAGAAAAATACGAAGGTCTGGGGAGAGGAGGCCTGGCCTTTCGAAGCTGGTTTTTGCCATAATGGCTGTTTTCCTTCTGATGTGGGGGCCTTACAACATTGCACTTTTCCTGTCCACTTTCAAAGAATCTTTCTCCCTGCACGACTGCAAGGGCAACTACAACCTGGACAGGAGCGTTCAGATCCTGAGAATTGTTGCAGCCACCCACTGCTGCATCAACCCCCTCCTCCACGCGTTCCTTGACCCCACATTCAGAAGACACCTCGGCCGCCTTTGCTGTGTGCACGATGGCCGTCTGCTTCAGTCCAGAGAGGAATCTACACGAGATGCCGCCAGGGAAGAACTTGACCATTCCACCAAAGTGTAAACTAGCTTTCATCAAAGGTGGGACAAATAAACATTGAGTTTTACATCGTCGCATTGTTTTGCATGTTTTTTTTTACACATTTGTATATAAAACAGGATATGGGAAGAAAAGCAGGGAGGTGAACAAGCATTTTCCAAGCACCGAATTTGTCTCAGGTGCTGTGCGAGGCTCTTTGCAAACCTGAGCCCCTTTGCGCCTCAGTACTTGACCATGGGTGTGGACGGAACGTGTCCATTCCGCTCAGGAGGAAACTGAGGCACAGAAGTTTGTCTAGGCTTACACAGCTAGAAAGCGGCGGGCCTGGGGCCCAAACGTGAGTGCCATTCACGCCAGAGCCTACGCTTTGTCCAGCATGCCAAACTTCCAAAAATTGGGCAAGGAAACACACGAAATAAATATGTACCCTTAAAACCAATCAGACCACATTCCAAGTTAAAAGCAACCCATTCATATAGAAGGAATTGTTCAGGCACATTTTTCTTGCAGGTAATTGAAAGGACTGTCCAGCTGGAAACTAGGGATAAAGGGGTAAAAGTGCTCTGTGGAATTTACTAGGTCTCCTTGGCTACTTGCTACATGAATAGTCTGTGTGAAATAACTCCAGGCAAGAATATTTTCGAAGGAATTGAGAAAACATTCACTCAAGCTCAATCTGAAGTGGAATTTGCTAAGATGTGTTGGAATTGACGGGGGTTAAAACATGCTGTGAGCAGGAAAAGCCTGGGTGGGACAAATTTACAAAATGTGTGGAAGTGGGTCAGTCAATTGTTATTTGTTAGTGGTATTTTGTGGAAAATACTGGAATTTACCACGTGCATTAAACCGTTAGTGTTGGGGCGCCTGGGGGGTGCAGTCGGTTAAGCATCCAACTCTTGCTTCCAGCTCAGGTCGTGATCTCAGGGTCGTGAGATAGAGTCTGCTTGGGATTCCCCTCTCTCTTCTCCCTCTGCCCCTGCCGCTCATGCTCGCTCGCTCGCTCGCTCTCTCTCTCTCTCTCTCAAATAAATAAATAAATAAATCTTTTTTTAAAAAACATGTTTTCTGAACTTAGCAGTGATTTTCAGACCTCAGTGCAAGGACAGAAGACATTTCCGTATTTTAAAATCAGTTTGTGCAACTGGAGAGCTTTCATCTTACGTTCAGTTGGAGGTGCTCTGTGACCTAATGGCATGCCATGCTAGAAGGTATACATCAAGTGAGGAATCTAATAGAATTCTATAAATATCTGCCAAGCGATAAATATGCACATGTAATATCTTATGCTTGCAGCCTGGTGTCAGTGTTTGGCAGCAGCTTGTGTGAAAAGACATTTTCAAAGATGAAAGATAGAAAATTTCTCCACAGATCCGCTTTAAGGGGTGACCTCTTGCAACCGACTTTAATAAGAGGGAACACCAGTTTTGAACCTCAGTCGAACAGAAGTTAGCCCCCTAACTTCCACTCTTCTCATTAGTGCACCTGTATCACACGAAAGAAATTACACTCCAGTTATGAGTCGGTACTGATACCGCCCATTCTAGCCCAACCCAGAGTTTCCACCTTGCCTTCTCCATTCCGTATTTCTTTTTTTTTCTAACTTTATTTTATTATGTTGGTCACCATACATGACATCATTAGTTTTTTGATGCAGTGTTCCATGATTCATTGTGTGCGTACAACACCCAGTGCTCCACGCAGCACGTGCCCTCCTCAATACCCATCACCGGGCTGACCCATCCCCCGCCCCCTCCCCCCTAGAACCCTGTTTGTTTCTCAGAGTCCGTCGTCTCTCCTGGTTCGTCTCCCCTCCGATTCCCCCCCCCTTCATTTTTCCATTCCGTATTTCTGTCCTCCTCTTTTCTTTCACGGTAACTCTAGGTCCCCAAAAGCATCAACACATTTACTCATCTTCCCAATCATACATACACAAGAGTGTCCAGCGTTGCTACACCCATAGTGCTTAGAATCGCGGGCAGATGGATATAGGGATGATAAGGAGAGGGGCCTGGACCCGTCCTAAAGGTGTGGCCTGGAGGAGGGGCGCGAAGCTATCACCGGGCCAGGGAACGTGACCAGGTTATGAGATTCAGCAGCGGTCTCCCTGGGGGGTATCTGGGCTCAGACATGAGGGATTCCCCCACGGGAATCTTGCACCTGCTCCGTCTTCTGTTTCTGTGGGGCCAGGGCAGCTGTGCAGGTGGAGCCCTGCCTCCGCACCCTAGGGAGGGACACACTGGGCCTGAAATCCAGCCTACGTTGCTGAGCAGGCCACGCTCCCAGGCAGGAGGTTGTATGCACCCTGGGAAAGGGGTACCTTCCCTGGCCTTCGCACAGAGGCCCTGTATGGGCCGGCAGGGCTGTCCTCTGACTACTGTCTGGCCAGGCACCATGAAATGCTCTAGTGTATTTTCCCTGTGCCACCGCCCTCTTCCCTGTCCTGTGTGTGGGCACGGGAATCCTTCCGCTGCCAGGACAAACTGGAAAGGGGGTTGTCTCCCTCCGGGACCAAGCTTGGGGGCAGAGGGAATTCAAGGAGCAAGGCAGAGACAGCTGCAAGCCCGTGCAGGGCTGGCAAAGCCTGGCCAGAGGGTAGAAAGGCCAGAGAAGAAGACACAGGGTGGAAACCATGCAGAGTGCAAGGCCATGGCCTTTCACTTGAAGCCTGTGAGGAACTTGGGGTTGGAGGAAATGAAAGCAGGGACACCAAACGGAGGCCACCCTCCATTCAGTGTGAAAAGAATGCGGGGACCAAAGGTCATGTGGCAGCCCAGGGCTTGCGCTACATGGGATGCACCCCAGGGGGGGAAGAGAAAGGAGCATCTGGGCAGTTATGGGACTGTAACATGCAGATTTCCCACTTCTGGGGCACCTGGGTGGCTCAGATGGTTAAGCATCTGCCTTCAGCTCAGGTCATGATCCCAGGGTCCTGGGATCGAACCCCGCATCAGGCTCCCTGCTCGGCGGGGAGCCTGCTTCTCCCTCTACTGCTCCCCCTGCACGTGCTCTCTCACTCGGTCAAATAAATAAATAAAATCTTAAAAAAAAAAAAATTCCCACTTCTGCGAGAATTCATGAGTACTAAGCTCTGAGACTGTTTACCGTGGGTGCAGTTTCAGGGTTTGTGTGTCCCCAAAGATATGAGACACACAGAAGGAAGGATGTGGCTCTTGGCTACTAAGACAAAAGTCCACACGTTGGTTCCTTCTCATGACTGGAAGCTTTGACCACTGTCCCAGCCAAGCTGAAGTGAAGGAGATGTTGGGCTGCTTCTCCTCCTCCCTCTGTCCCTGCCTTACCCTGGATTCTCCATAGCCTCTGACTTTCTGGGGTGACGCTCTCCCTTAAAACTCAAACAGCAGGCTGAGGTACCCATCTCCTGCTCTGCAGAGAGCTCACGGCCCCACTCAGAATTCCCACGGCTTTCCTGGGCCTCACCTTCTTCTGACCACCTGCCACCCACATCCTTCTGCTCCCTCATTACTGATCTTCACCACCTTTCATTTCCAGAAGCTGCAATCCCCACAGGCTGACACTGTCCTGGTGGGTGATGGCCAAAATGGGTCCAATCATCGATAGGTATTAGGTGTCGGTGATCAAGCACCCTGACCAGCAGAGGCAGGAACTGTCTCCATGATGACATTTTTCTTTAGAACCTGAGTGGCTGTGTTCCTGGGGCCCGTGCGTCCTCTCTGGGCAGTTCTTCCACCACTTCCACACCTTTCCTCACCTGCGGCCGACTCTAAGTTCCCTGGGGGAACTCAGCTGGAGGGGTGAGTCAGCTCGATTGATCTGGCTCCAAACTCTCACTCTCAGGGTAAAGGGCTCACTTTTCTCAACCCCAGGGGCCACCTAATATGACTCCCTAACATACCCTCTGCTTCCACCTTAAAATTCAGACTCAACCTCACCGGTGTATTTCAATCTGGCTCAAACACTAGAAATGACCTGCTTTGGGGCCATGGTGTTCACAGCCCAGCAGGACTGACGCTTCGGTTGGAAGGAGCAGGCGGGTGCTCACCACCACAACCACAGCACAGATGGTGATTTGCTTACCTTCTCTACATTTCATGACTGTGAGCCTGGTGTACGGATATTCCTGTGTGTTCTGTTGACAATACTAAATTTCAGAAAAGAGAGACGTACCAGAGCCTTAGGGTTGAAGTAAATGAAGGTACTGCCCCAGATCCAGAAGGGAAATAGTGTCCTATTGCCAAGATAGTCACTGCTTCTTTCCACTGGGCCTCTCCCTGCAGGACATCATATGCCTGCCTCGTTGATGTCGTGGCCACCCAACTGACTTTGGACAATGAAATGAGGGGAATGACAAGGTCGCTGTCCTACAGAAGCTCTAGAAATATATAGTGAGGCACCTCCACCTCTCTTTTAGCCCAGGTCTCAGAACAAAGACAGATACAAGCATTTGCGTGTAAGCCGCTAGGATTTCAAAAGAACTTATTAGCATAAGCTGATGGATTCAGTGATGTTCAATTTTCAAATTTAATTTTGGCCAGAAAGGGGATTTCATGGGTGGGGCTTTAATTTCACCTTTGTATCTTATTTATACAAGAAGGTTCATACTGTTCCAATGTTATGCTTTGCGGGGCTGGTACTGTAACTAATACGGCAACAGCATCAAACGTTGCTCGCTGAATAACCTTCTCAGGCTAGTAAGGATAGACTGCATATCTGGGCCAATAATTCACAGTAGCAAAAAGTGAGTTTTCATCCTAAGCTTAAAGAGTCCCAATTCACGTCCTTTCCTGGCAGATTTCAGAGCCTGGTGCAGGCCGCAGCAAAGCTCCCCACCCATTGGTGGTGGTCAACGCTGGTCACCCTTGTCTGGCATCTGCCTTTGAAGGGGCTGTCTTCACCCTGTCGGCACGGGTTTACCTGTTGCGTCCAATGAGCTAATGGAAAAAACTGAAAGCTGGAAAATGATCCCTTCCCGAGGAAGAGTTAGCAATCTGAGAGAGCTGGTACCTAAGCACCAGTGAGCCCCACTTTCTGGAAGAAAGTCTGCATTAGTAGCTGAGACCCCATCATCTGGTTCTCTCGTGGGTCAGAAGCAACA